CAAAATTAGGTATCTAGAGAAAAGCACATACAAGACTACCTTTTGGTATCTTAATTATGTCACTCACGTTTTGTTCATTAAAAGAATCTAGATTTATGCCAGCGAATTTTAAAATAGCAATGCCAAAGAAAGTTACTATTACAATAGCAAGTATAACCAGTTTAATTATATTTAACCATGCAAACTAAAAGTATAATATAAATATATGCATTTTAAGACAAATATCTTATTGGAATATTTAGTTAATAAATCATTTTTTCTTAACTATATTTACCAACTGTTAATTGTTGATACTTATCTGAACATCTCAAAAGAGTTAACTGTTAAACTTTGTATTCCTATAGATTTTCTTTAACATGATTCTATTATTATTAAATTTATTAATCGCATGTTTTATTAAAAACACTTTTTCAAAAGCAAAGTTATCCATTGTGAAATAAATGAATAATAAATTTTGTCTTAATGTAACACCTGGTAAATACAGAAATTAGTTCTGTCATTTATTTTTAAAGGAATTTTGATTGGTTAGCGAAAAATATTCTATGAACTGAACAACATAAAATTATACTTGAAACACTGATTAGTGTATAAGATAACATTGAAATTAAAATAAAATTCTAAAAAGCTTTTTAGAGTTCGAATAAAATCAATTTTCTTGAACTATATATGACAAAAATAGTACAGCTATTAAAAATCAAAACATACCACTCTTAATCCTATTTCGTTATATCGATAAACTGTAAAATATAATTGAAATAAGACATCCAACTATTTGTGCAACATGTCCATTACACATTAAACAAATATCAATGGTAGGTCCAAATATCATAGCAATAGTACCAAAGACAAGAATACCCTAGAAGATTAATATAGAATTTTTATCGATTCATATTTAAGAATTTTATAAGAGTACGAATATTCTCATGACAGATCTCTACTAAAGATTTTGTTTGACTGAAATGATTTGATCTAATCAAATGTTTTATGTTCTCATATTCTAAGTATGTTTTTAAAAAAGAAAATTCTTTTTAAATGATACTCAAATGTAATCGAATATTTCGATAAGTAATTAATAAAAGAAAATATTAATCTAACAGGAAAACTTTTTCGTCTATGGCACTTTTCGTTGCTGATTATTTTAGTGGAAGATTTTAAAAATTTGATCAATAAATGACATTTCTATAATCACAATAATGAAAAACTGTCATCTATTTATCAAAGTTTTACAACCTTTTAGTAAAATAATCAGCAAAGAAAATTCTAAAATATATCATAAACGAAAAAGCTTTCTGAATACCACGGAAGTGTCCGCTTATATTCTTGAAGTGTTTACTTTTTCTGTAATCCCATAGTCAATTATCATTCTACGAATTCATGTTTAGTCACAATGGACCACTCCTCACTCTCCAACAATCATCGCAAATTTTTCTTTTCTGCTAGAGAAGTCGAACGCGATTTTTAGCATTCTGTTGAACCACCGTCCCCAAAAGAAATCGTTAACTACTCATTAATGTTCTCTTTACACCCTCTTCGCACACCAGATCTCTTTGAACAAATCCTATATGATGTGATTGTCATATTTACACATAGATATTCTAAAACTTGTTGAATATATGGACATCTCAATTTACACGTGAATGAAAACAAAAATAAACTAATTTGTTTTTGCACGATACTTCCTTTCATCAGCGGAATCAATATCTGTTCTCAACATTTTTTTGAAAAATTATAGCAAAAAAAACAATTGGTTGTTAAAATTCTGTCGAAAAACGCTTGCAATTGTTTATTTTAATAGCCATAAAGGGTGGTCCAGAAGTCTTGACTCGATTTGAATATTAAATTTTTCTTTAGCAAAACACATGGTTGAAAATTTGTCTCTATAAAGAAAAGATGCAGTAAAACACGCTCTACAAAATGGCTTTTGATTGACCCTGCTAGCTCATATAGTAAGAAAGTTATAGGCTTAGAGATGTGCTTCACAAAAAAGAAAAATTAACGGTGAACCCGATATCGGTATTTTTGCTCGAACTCCTGTTCCATAGGTCGCCTAGAACAAATTCGTTTTTTTAATAGAAGCGCCATGAAATTCTTTACAAAAACATACCTGAACTTTTATTTCAGAACTTCAATCAAGAAAACTAAGGAAATTATATGGCAGACGAAAAAAAATGAAAACATGGAAAATTCGGTATTTTTTTCAACCGAAACTTTTTCTTCTCTTATTATTTCCGTGAAGAAGCTTAGCAAAAGTGAGAACTGAGTTTGAGTTCGATAGATTTGAATGTACTATTTCTCCTGGTCTGTAGAAAGACTTTTTTAGAGCAGATGGTGTGCTCGAGAATGAAGTCTCAAAAGTGGCAAACCCCGTTCCCGACAATATACCCAAGCAAGAAACAGAAAACATGATGGAAGCTTGATTTTGTAGTTAGTTAGAGAAGAGCAATCATTTCTGATTAAAACAGAACAAACCTGATCGAAAATTTTTTTCGTTTGATGAAGTTACGGGACTCTTACTTAAAGCAGATCATACGAAGAAGGTTCATGGTTAATTTTTCTTTTTTGTGAAGCACATCTCTAAGCCTATAACTTTCTTACTATATGAGCTAGCAGGGTCAATCAAAAGCCATTTTGTAGAGCGTGTTTTACTGCATCTTTTCTTTATAGAGACAAATTTTCAACCATGTGTTTTGCTAAAGAAAAATTTAATATTCAAATCGAGTCAGGACTTCTGGACCACCCTTTATATGAAAATTTTTATCTCAATGTGCTGGAAAAAATGTTGAACATGCTTAAAAAGAGAGTGAGATGCTCGAGGTTCCAAATCTGCACTTACCTTCTCATACAGCTTAATATATATAGTTATCAAACAAAAGAAAAAAGAAACAAATTTTTTTTGTAATTATTATTCAATCAAAATAGTAAAATACAGAAAATAAAAACTTACTATGACACACCCCAAGTATTATTAGAAAAATTTTTCGAGTTCGTTCTACTTGAGGATTTTTAGTTAGTGATAATCGTTGGGAAACAGATAGATAAGAAGTAGCCATCATCTTCATTCTTTCGCTTCCTTGTTCGTCTCGCATTTTAATGATGTGCAATTCAATCTTAAGGTTAACTGCAAGAAAACAAAACTATAAAGTTATTAAGAAAGAATGAGAAAAAAACACGCAAGATGATAATCCTTCTGATCACTTAAATGTTATAGAAGGCACCGAAGACACAATAGATCAGTACTGATAATCATGGTAGACTTATATGAAGAAAAAGAGTATTAATACACGTTATACTGTATGAATTGATATATTTGATCGATTAATAGTTATTGTTTCAGTTCAAACTAGTCACAGACTTGAAAATCAAAACTTTTTTTCGAATACGATCGTAGCGATAGTAGGTTTTTTAAATTATGGCTGTGACAAGAAAATATAATTTGTACCATTAAAATTAGAAAATAAAAGTATTTATAGAAATACATATATCATTTTAATAAATTTCAGATGCTATAAAAGATAAATCACGATGATAACTGTTGTTTTTTAGTACATGCAACTTGGTATATTTCAATAAATATGATGCTATTTATTCTGTAAGCTAAAAACAGTCCATAAACAGTCAATGATTTTTATGGCATTGAATACAAGTTGTTAACGTTTAATTAGTCTTAAGTTCTCAACAACTTTTGTTTTTTTTCTTCGATAATAACTATAATAGTCGTGTTATTTTCTTGTACAAATTGAATAAGAAAAGTAATAATATAGATTGATGTATTTTGCCATGTTCTACAAATTGACATAATGTTTATATTTATCGTTTATTTCTGTTTTACATTTATGCAATATTCTATAGATGTATTATTACATCTATATAATCTTGTATAAATAATCAAGAGTACACTGTGATTCTTTATTTTCACTAGATTATTAAGACTGCGATCAATGTTGAGTAATAAATAAATGAACTGTTATTGAAAGGAAGAGTACTGATCTAAAGTAGAAATAAAACTTTTTTTGTATTCCTCATATATCTAGTGCAACATTTATATGTATTTTTGACAAAATAAGATTTATTATATGTTTTTATGTAAAAAAATGATGTTTTTCGATAAAGAAACTTTGTATATATATATTTATTCGTATATTAGAATAATAAAAGACGTGTATTCCCTTCAAAACGAAAAATAATTTTCAATCGTAGAAAATTCTCCGGAAAAAGTGCACATTTATGTACAAGGGTGTAGGTCTGAGTGTAAATAGAAAACCATTTGCATTCAGATTAACACATCCGCACCCATCAGGCACATTGTATTCGTGTTGATTCTTGCTTCTGATATTGCCTTGTTAAATCAAACGGCATAAAATAAGTTAAGCTTATTTATTTTAAAGAAACTTTTACAAACCAAAACAAGTAAGACTCATGAGCTTGACTGCTTCTTTTTTTCTTCTTTCTGAATACGAAGAAGCTCTTTGAATCATATACCAAACAAACCTATTCTGCCAAGGATAATACGATTTTATGCAATACAATACAATATTAATCTCGAAGAAACTAACTAATATGATATTCTCTTAAATAAAGTTTTTCTTTCAGTTTGTTCAACTTCATTCAGAAAACAGCTGTGCACACGTCCGCAGGCTCAAAACGAGGCAACAATGCATATCATGAGTAATCGAAATTTAAACGAATGCTTTTTCTCCTGTTTGTGGAAACTTCGAATCCCTTGGAAGCTATGTAATCTTGAGCTCTCAGACATATTTTCTCATCGCACTCGCATTTTCGATTCATGTGAAAAATTTTGATAATATTACACACATCGAATTTTTCGTGTGTGAAGATGTGATTGTAGATCATCTTTTTAACATTGCCCACAACCATATTCCACACTCAAACCAAGATTCACCCATACTTACACTTCCGGATCCTCACCTTCGACTTTAGATTTGATTAATATTATTTTGTGTATTTTGTTGTATTCTGTATAAAACGGAGAAAAAAAGATCTTAATCAAATTCACAGTCGAAAACATTCGTAATTACAAGCATAAAAAAGAAAATCAAAGTAAATGAATATGATAGAATAGTTGCTGATGATGATAAATCATAGTAATGTTGAGCAAGTCCAGTATAGGCAAATATACGTAATGCTTCTTGAGCTGTATTTCTTGTGTTACAACGTGATTGAACACATTCAACATAAACTTTTCCCAATTCTCGTTGATCATCTAATGTCGTATGTTCATACAATTGTACACCAACTAAATTTATATTATTCTTACATGAACGAATAGAATCTGTTCTATTAGTATCGAGTGAACAACTTTGACAATTACCAATAGTTTCTTTTTCATCATCACCTTTATGACATTCAATTTTCTCAGTAGTACTATTATTTATTGGAAATAATTGACGCATTTTTGATATGACACCAGATGCCACATTGGGTATAGATTGCATTGATGCTATAATATTTCGAGTATTTTCGAAAATATTACAATCAGGACATTCATGAAAAATATGTACTGAGAGAATACCAGTCGATAAGCTTGCTTCCGTATCAACAAATGATGGACGAGATTGACTGACACTCGGCGTAAAATAGAATATACTTATATGATCATCTTGATTAGAAGCAAATGTAACACTAACAGCACAAACTAAACTCGCGTTACTATGTGCTGTACAATCAGACGGTGGTTGAAGTGCAGTATTAAATGGTATGACTTGATTACATGAAGAATAACATAATTGTGCACCATTTACAAAGGGTATTAGTAAAAAAATTTTCACGAGAATAAGAAACATTTGTTTAGTATGATAAAAACTGCTGAATTTTGAGGTCGTTTCATATCTTTTATGCTCGACAAAATCTTACCTTTTAACATTTACGATAAATAACTATGTGTTGCATCATAAAGAAAACTTTAACATGAGAATATTCAGGATACGGGTGTATGAGTATAAATTGGTAGGAAAATAGAGGATCTACATATTCACCTACATCCACATTTCTCTGTGTGCATGAAAATGCATGGATAAACATGTCATGTATTTTTCGATTCTTCATTCGTTCCCAGTCAATAATTCTCTGTCAACACACTCATCAAATTCGATGTAAATACTGTTGAAACACTTGTTTTTTCTATGTATTGATTAATTTTCGAAAATTCGTCCATCATTCTATGTATTTATTGAGTAATATAATATGACTTTTTGAAATTGAATACATCTTTTGCCTCATCTGTATTCACTATTGTTGTAATTTATTGACTAATCCTGTTTTCATATGAAGTGTAATTTCACTCTCCGTTGGCATAAATAGAATTTCAATTCTGAATAAGAATACAGATTGTATCTTATGCTATGAATTTACTATAAGTTTACATTCTAAATTAAACTAAAAAATTGTCACCGTGTATTGTTAATAAATATCAAAATGATAGATGGCATAAAAATAAAATGTATGAGAATGTTTTTTCAAGTGATTACATGGGTGGAGAGTTTTGGCGAGTCTCATTCATGAGTAAATAGCTAGAATCAAAATAATAATCCAATATGAATTGTAATCGAATATTTAGTTTTTCTTTTCGTTCGACAATTACGTGACGTATTTTTTTCGTTCTTCTACTTCCTCACGTATAATATGTTAGAGAAACCAGACAAGATAAAAACAATAAAGATCAGTAGCGTGTGACAAACGACATAAACACATATAAGCAAAAGAAAATTATCGTACATTCAGATATGCATACCTGTTAATATGATAGATAAAATTGTTGCATTTATCTATATTGTGTTTAACTAAAAAAAGTAAGTTTAGCATACCATACTTTGCCAAATACTGTACAATATGATATCAACAATAAGGATAATTGCAGATTTAGAGAAAGAAAATTATGAATAGAAAAAAAACCTTTCAATGTTGGAAAATTCCCAGTAATTATGTCATCGAAGTTGGAAACTTTCTTTATATTAAATGTAAAGAATCGAAAGAGGTCTTAGTAATAGTCTATGTAAGTAACTTTGATTTATCATATAGACAAAAAATGTTTTAGACTCTAAATGGATTCTACAACGAAGTAAAAGGATTCTCTACACTTTCATATATCAGTTGATCCATCTTACATAATGCTTTTAATCTTTATTCAACATGTTTTAAAAGGATTTGTCTTCCTATATTTCAATTTTTTTACTTTCGACATTCTTACTATTAATAAAAACATGAATTACTAAAAAAGCAATTAATATGAAAATAATTCATTTTCAATGGAAAATATCTTCTGAAAAAATGATCTGATATAGGCTTCTCAAGTAAAAAAATTCAAAAGTATATTCAGGTTATTATAATCATAGATGAGAGATGATGTAGTCAAACGTGCTCACTCTTCATGTTACTAATTGTTGTTGTAGATACTTTCATTTTAAAGATAAATAAGAGATATGATTTACTGATATATATATTTGCTGAAGCCCAGGAGATGCATGGGGGATCGGATCCTGTCGGATCTGAGAATTTCGATCGGATCCAACGGGGTTTTCGTCGGAATCCGATGCAATATCATGAAAATCCGATCGGATCTGGTCGGGTTTTCATGGTGTTCCGTCGAATTCCGATGAAATCCAGACCGAATTCCGGCTGATGGGAACCCGACGAAAACCGCATCGGATCCGATCGGTTTTTTATGAAAGATGTCGGATTCCGATGAAAACCGACGTAGATCCGATCGAAAAAGATCGGATCTGCAGGTCGGATTGCATCTCATGGGAGGTTTCTAAATCAGCATTCGTTGATTGATCATCTTTAATAGGTGAAGCTTAAATTATGTGACATATTCGAAAAGTTCTCGAATAATTTTCCACTAGAAAAATATTTCATTAACCTTTTACCCCCCCATAGCGGTTCCAGAAGAGCCACCGATGAAAAAACTTTATGAATAGAGTATTAGCCTGTCAAATATGCCAATGTTGTGGCCTAATCCACCGAATGTCCTGTTCCTGGAGTAGGGCGGTTTGACTGGTGTAAAACCCATGTGGTGGAAAATGGAAATTGAACAACATCATAAGACTTAATTCTTTTTCTTTGACCACATTATTGATTGAACACAAGCAGCATCTATCTCATACTGTTGAATTGATAGGAAAAACGCAACGAGTAAACCAATAAAAATTAACATCAATGAATACATGCTTTTTTACACCTATTTTCAAATTTAAGCCTATTTTACTCTGAGCCATTTTGTAACGTCTGAAGGAATTTAATTCATCATAAATATTATTTCGACTTCTCATGAGTTGAGGTCTATAACGCATATATTAACTTTGTTCTTGATTAACCTCCATCTGTCTAACAGTGACAACATGGTCAATTGTGTTCTCTAGTATGCATAATTCGCGGAGTTATCATGACGCTTTCGAAACGCATTTAATTCAACAGTGGACTTCTTCATCAATTAATATCGCATAGAAGTTCCAAAGAAACTCTATCGATTGCAAGTAGAGAACATTTTGTTTATAAAATTTCGAATTTTTGCAGTTTTTTCAAAATTATCGATTTTGTAACTCATATATCTCGAAGGCAGAGCAATGAAACAAAATATTTTTTTTATCAATCGGTAGCTTGTGAAGTTCCCTATAAATAGTGTCTTGGGAGTTTTTCAGTCTCATGCTTTCTTTATTTTCTACGATCATGTCTACAAATGGGTCATATATGACCCATTGGGGGGTAAAGGGTTAAGAAAAAGAATTCCTCCAACACGATTCTTGTGCAATTAAAAGTTGAAATATGATGAAGCAGTTTCCAATGGACTTGAAGATGCTTCATATTTTGTAATGATACTCAATCGTGTTTCACATTAGAATAGATTTCCAAGAATTAGATAGCTTTTATTCGTTTCTAATATATGATCTCTTAATATTGCATTGCATTTATAAACAGAAATGTGCTCAGAGTATTTTTTTTTCAACATCTATTTATTTCCTTGTTTATACATACAACAACAGTAGAGGAAGAAAAACCATCAATACACACTTAACCAATGTTCTTAATTTAGGTAGCATTTTTTTTTAATTTGAATAGAAACACCAGCGAAACACTTTACAAAGATTTCCAGTCTTTTACACGTTTTATTTCAATTCTTTTAAAATTTATTTACTTCAATTGATCATCGAATGGCTACGAAATCAGACAAAATTGATCAAGAGAGATCAAGTAATCATTTCATTCAAATAGCTGATTTAATGCATTTAGTTTTGTCTCAAAAGGTGACACTGTAGCCAATAAACGAATGAAAATAGAAGTTGAAGATGGTGATCTAATGTTTCAGTCCTCTCTAACGGAAATTCATTCGACTGTTGTGAAGACCACATTCGACAGTATCATTCAAGAAAGTTCTACGATTCTGTTTTATAATTCTGTTGAACAAGAACACAGAGTTAATATCAGTGATTTGAAAAGGTAAGAATAATCAATTTGCTAAATTTCTTTTTTATAAGATACACTCAGATTTGTATGAATGTTTCTGTTCAATAGTAGTCTTGAAATACTACCAAACGAAATTTTTTCTCAAATATTTTTGTATATCAATCATCCCAATATAGTTTACTCATTTTTTGGTCTCAATCATCGTTTCAATTCCTTTGTAATGGAATTGGTTCGTCATTTCATTGTTCCTCTCGATACACTAACGGATTGGTTTATAAATTACATGCCACGTGTTCAGGACACAATTGAGATAATCACTCTTGAAATCGAATCAATACCTCGTGTCTTTTCATGTACACATTCATATCCAAATCTTCATTCAATTATTCTCAAGCATGAAGAATTGTCTATCGCCGAATTGAACGTCCAGCATTGTTCTGCCTTGGGTGCTGTTATCTCATGCTTGAATATTCTTCGCTTATACTTTGCTTGGGTGTCGGATATTTATGAGGAAACGACACCTCTTTTTGAAACTCAGCATATAGATCGTACGGCAGATTTTCAAGTATGTGATTGTAGAACATAATAAAATTGAATACTGAATGAAGAGTTTTTAGATGAATGCTTTTTTAAATACTTTACCATGTACAGCCATAGAACGCTTATATATTAATGTATCCACTGTACAAGATTGGATCTGTATATGTGGTCTGACACCCAATTTGACACATCTTCGCCTCTATCAGGAAACTCTCGATGAGTATGAACCCCCTACCAATTTAACTGTGATGCTTATTCCTAGTCCTTCGTTTCTAACTCGATTGCATATTACTATCAAAGATGATCAATCAGACTTTAATTCTATTAAATGGCTAATCGAGGGATGTCAATCATATCTGCAACAATTCAAACTTATGTCCTGTGCCTCGAACTTAATTGATGGGCAAGGTTTAGAGACATTGCTTCGACCTTGTCGACAACTCAAAAAATTCGAATTTCTATTTGACTATATCGATGACAATATTGACATGGTTAAATTATTGTCCCAGTTCCAAAGTGAATGGTGGCTTGACCATTATTGGTCACCAGTATTCGTTCAACGTGACGATGCTAGTCACATAGTAATCGTTTCGATGCCCTGTTCTTTCCAGCATCGTATCTCCCTGTCGACTGATTTGAAGATGTGGTCAATTAACAAAGGTCAACTTGATACATCGTTTATTCAATTTACTAAAATAACATCAATTGTTTTATGTAATAATAATCGACAATCTATTACTCTTGATTTTTTGAATTTTATCGGTCGCGTCTTTCAATCACGTAATCAAACACTAGAATGCAAATATTGGACATTTCCCTCTCCACATATACTTTATGAACAGGTCGGTTTCCCTTTTTTTACAAGATCATTCGTGTCAACGAGTGAAAAAATTTAATGTTTTCTCTTCTAATTATTTGATACTTTGCAGATTATCAAAACAGCACAAAACACTTCCATATTGCCTTATGTAACAACATTCACGATGCAGAATTCTGATTATGATTTACCAGATGGCATGTCACTCATTATATGGCTTCTGTTAGCACCAAACGTTAGAAAAATATTTCTAGGTCAGAGGTCAAATGCACAGAAACTGCAATTGGGAAAAGAATTACTCGAATTGGTTAAGACGGATAATCGTCTGAACACTATTGTTAATCGTTTGAATTACGTAACGATAACTACATTTTTCGACACAATTGACAATGCAACTAAAATGAAACTTCATAGTCTTTTTACTCAAATCTTTCCAAAAGCCACGATTTGTTAATTGTAGCAGATTTGTGAATTCTACTGAATTTTAATATTTCTTCTCATCAGAAACATACTGTAAAATATAAAATAATTTATTAAGAACAATAAAACAATATTCTAGAAATGTTCATATGAATCCAACAATGAATTTCTACTTTCTGGAAAAGAACATTAATGTGATATACAGAATGAGCACAATTACACTACATCAAATGATACAAACCTTAAAATATTTGAAAAAAAAACACTCTTTGAAAAACTATAGACAATATTTAATAGGCATTATTTTTTTTAGCAAGAAATAATTTTCTTGTTAAAAATAAATGTGGAAACTTCGGATAAAAATTTGACAGTTGTGTGTACTTGAAAAAAGTGAATTAGACAGATGAGTCATTCTAGAATGTGTAGGTATCTGTGAACACTTGAATTCTATTGGATACTGCTCAATCAATAGGAATGACGGGCGAATACAGCTCAGATTTGAATTCTTTGGGTGTGGGTGTGGGTGTAAGTGTTCTCTTCAGCTACACCCACCCACACCAGCATCCACACCCACACCCCACCCACACCCCACCCACACCCACACCCACCCACACCC